ACACCTCCGCCAAGCTGGTAGGTGGGTGGGGCTGGGGGTGGGGTTGGGGGGGGAAAGGGGCATGGGGGCGGGGAGGGATTGGTGCAGGGACTGGGCCAAGCTGCCTGACCAGGGCGGGGGCGTGTATTACTCAGGGAGCGGGGCACAGGATGCAGGCACAGCAGTGCTGAGAGTGGGGGCTCTGCCCTCCTGCCGCTTGCCCAGCTGGGAGTGTGGGAGGGTGGGGGGTGTAGGATGCGGGACCAGCTTGCTGCAGGAGGAAGGAGGCAAGTGGCAGCAAGGCATAGCCCCCACTCACAGCACTGCCGTGCCCACATCCACTGTATCATCTTAGTCTATGGCCAAATCGCCAAATCTTTTCTGAATTGATTTGGATGTTTCTAATCGATTTGGAGGTTTTAATTGGTCTCTTGATTTGATTCGGATTCAGAGATTCGGTCCCTAAATTGGCCCAACTCTCCTCCGGATCGAATCAGCTATTGAAGCTTCCCACAGCCCCAGTGTCCAATGTCCTGTTGCTACAAAGATTGTTAAAATACATCTGAGAGGTCCCAGGAAGAGGGTCACAACCCCCTGCTACAGAGAAAGGCAAGGCCCCTCCAATCTGTACCAATCTAATCATAGGGTAAAATTCCTTCCTGATCCCAAACATGGCAATTGATCTGACCCCGCGCAGAGGCAAGTCCCTCTAGCCAGGAGTCTCTGGGTTTATGTCTCAGAAAGAGCACTGGCACACCCATCAAATTCTCCAGCCTTGGCTGCAGCCAACACCTAAAACTTTTGAGGAAGGTGATCCATCCCCCCCACCCCCTGCAATAGCAGGAAGGAAAAAAAATTAGTTCCCAGCCTCATGTGGCAACCAGCAAAGCTCAGAAGCATGGGAAATATCCATAGTAGAACACAGGCATCCCTGACCAGTGCTTCTCCAATCTCTTCTTGAACATCTACAGTGATAGAGATACCACAATTTTTCTAGGCAGTCTATTTCACTGCCTCACTGTTCTAACAGTGAAGAAGTTTTTCCCGATATCCAATCTAAACCCACATTGCTGCA